CCCAACCCCTAATTTAAAGATTTCAATTGGCTTAATTTTGATATTCTAGAACCAGGCATAATTTTATTCCATAAAATAAAGTAAGTATTCTAAAGAGCTTAATTTTGTAAACATAGAAGTTTGGACTAAAGCAGAAACAAAGAACAAAGAGTAGATTAGTCTTTTCAAAGATACTTTCTTCGTAAGTTAGAGACAGGGAGGCAGAACAGTATAAAAATACCTGATTGGTTAATATCTGCTTACTTTAGGTTACTTTTAAAGAAGGAAATTATTGTGCCAATTGAAAAATGGTCTGTTTTAGAAATTTCATTGCCATTTCTCTCTCCTGATATCAGGGAAGGCCAAATAATGGGACAGTTTCAGTTTTGTGACATGGAACTTTAGCATGGGTGACTTCATTCTGGTTTTTAAATTGGTCTGTTGTGGCCCAGTGCAGAAACTTAGTCCAAAAACAACGGCCTCCTATAATTTTTACTTAACAAATTAATTGGTTTTTACTCTAATACTAACTTCCAAAATATATCAAATATATTATCAGCCCATTGTCCTTTCTTCAACTTGGAAAGCATAGCCAATAACTACATGAAAGGATTTTCAACATAACTAATAATTAGGGAAATGCAAGTAAAACTCACAGCATACCACCTCACAACCATTAAGTTGGCTAATGAAAATAGAAAATAAAGAATTTTAGCAAGAATGTGCAGAAATTGGAAACTTTGTGTGCTGTAGGTACATAAAACAGTACAGTGTATTAGTCCGTTTTCAATTACTATGACAAAATACCCAAATCACTTTAATTATAAAGAAAAAAAGGATTTATTTTGACTCACAATTCTGGAGGATCCAGTCCACAATCAAGTGATCTCATTGTGTTGGGCCTCTGGTGAGGACAGCATATCATGAAGAGCATGTGGTAAAGCAAACTCTTCACCTCATGACTGGGGAACAAAAAAGAAGAAGAGGATAAGACCAGGGTCTCATAATCCCCTTTGAGGGCACACCCCCAATAACCTAAGGACCTTTCATAAGGCCCCACCTCCAAAAGGTTACACCATCTTCCAATAGTGCCACTGTGGGGATCAAGCTCTTCACGATGGTAACATGGACGTTTGGGAAATATTCACCCAAATCATAGTATATAGACATTATGAAAAAACAGTATAGCATTTCTTCAAAAGATTAAAAATAGTGCCAGAAATTCCTCTTCTAGGTATATTCCCCAAAGAATTGAAATCACCATCTTAAAGAGATATTTGTTCATCTGTGTCCATAACAAATGAACAACATATTATTCAGCCTAAAAAAGGGAAGAAATTCTGACACTACAACATGAGTGAACTTTAAGAATATTATGTTAAGTGAAATATGCCAGTCAGGATAAAACAAATCATATATAATTCCTCTTATAAGAAATACATAGAGGGGGCGCTGGGGTTGTGGCTCAGTGGTAAAGTGCTCACCTAGCACATGTGAGGCCCTGGGTTTGATCCTCAGCACCACATAAAAATAAATAAAAATAAAGGTATTGTGTTCAACTACAACTAAAAAATTTTAAAAAGAAACACATAGAGTAGCCAAATTTACAGAAAAAGAAAGTAGAATGTTGGTTGTCAGGACTTGGAGAAAAGGAGAAATGAGGAATTTTCCTTTAATAGGTATAGAATTTCAGTCCTGAAGGATAAAAAGAGCTCTAGATATTGGCTGTACAACAATATGAATGTACCGAATTTTACACCTAAAAGGGATTAATTTCATAAAATTTATATTATTGTGTATTTTAACACATTTTAAAAATGAGTTCTCCTGGCAAAACTGGCTCTGAAATCAGATAGAACAATACAGAATTTTTCTCTCATGAAGGTTGGATTTTTATTTCCACTTCTATCAACTTTTGAAGAGATAACTATTTTTTGGAAATAAAAAAAAACCCTAATCACTGCTCCCATAATATTGGAGCATGATGCAGAAGAAAGGCAGTGAATGTTGGCTTGAGAAGATATACTGTATTAGAGTCTTAGCAGGAAACAATTCACTCCTGAAAGTCAAATTCTAATAAAGAGAATGGACAAATGAATGGCAAAGCATCCAAAGACTAGTAACAGCAGCATTCCATTGTCACCCCTAGAGGTGGAGGAACAAGAAGAGGAAATACTATTAGAACCTTGAAGTGCAGGTTACCTGGCAGAAACCAGATTTGTGGCACCAAGGAAATGGCCCTAAAGCAGATTCTTCTCTGCCCTCTGCCTCAGGATACACACACACACACACACACACACACACACACACGGGGAGGGGAGACAGAGAGATCCAGAGTATCTCTTCCCACCCTTCTCTTTTCTGAAGGAAACTCCAATGGGATATACCCAATTTGAAGCCAGCCATCAAAGTTTCTGGGCTATCTAGTTTGCTGGAGTTATCCTTTCAAAGCACAGAGCAGGACAGAAGACAGAGAATGGGTATGGGATATAGGTGTTAGGGTGGCAAATAGAATACACAACACTCTTGGGTTCTAGTCCTAGTCCTGTCACTAACCAAGTGCAACCTTATAAAAGTCAGTTAACCTATTTTTATTTTTGACCCACTAAGGAATTTTACATAGTAATACCTGTCTGTCCCCTGACAGGTGCTCTGTGAGTCTCAAATAAAATGACACATGACAGATTCCTTCTTACTCTATGAAGTATGGTTAAACATTAAAAAAAAATGATGATTCTTCCACTCTCTCCTTGGTTCTTCTCTCCTCTACTTGGGAAGGTGAGAAAATAACATGGGCAGAGTGAGAAAAAGTAAAATGGTGGGTGAGAGACCTGTGATCTCAAGCAAGTGTCTTTCACTCTGAGCATTAAATTTCACATGTATAAATATCTGAACTAGATGTTCTTATCAATGCCCCCTTCCAATTCCAAAGATTCTCTGATTGAAGAGTAGATCAGCAAGATACACACACGCACGCACGCACGCACGCACGCACGCACGCACACACTCCTTTCTTCTCTGCCTCAGATCATGCATATATAACCTGCCCCAAACTACTTTTTGATTTTGCTTTTGTGAAACCAACTGCAAGAACTGGGACATTAATTGTTGTGGCATCTTTTATATCATACCATATAGGAAACCTTCCCTGATATAACCACCCAAGGCAATATTGCCCGGCATGTGGCATGTGTTTCTTCAAAATATTGGAGGACAATTTAGTCCAGCCTGGAAAATCCTGGGATAAATAAAGCAAAGTAGGTACCTTTATTACAGGTTAGTCATAGTCTTTAAATATTAAAGACTTTAAAGTCACCATTTTTAATATTCTAATGTACATTGTGCTAATATACATTGAACTTCTATGAGAGGGTAGGAAAGTATATTGTGGAATTTTTAATTTGAAGTTACTTGACCAAAGTTACTTGACCATGGAACCCTCCCCCATTCTGTATCTCAAGTTCTTTGGAACATTCTGAATGGCTAAACCAAGTTTTGTATTCAGACATCCATTTTGTACATTTGTACTTCAGCCCAAAAGATAGTATATTTATACATTAGTAAAATATTTTAGGTCATAACACATGCTCTTCTAGTTCCTGCACTGGTGAGCCCTGCAATTAGTGATACTTACATATGAAATTTTTGAGGGGCAGGTGGTGGCATAATAAGGCATCATCTTTTACCCAAATCAGGAAAAAGTCCAGAATGCCTTTAAAGACCAGGCATTTTCTTGGTTTTTGGCATTATTTAGGCAAGATGAAATATGACTCTAATAATAAAAATTCACATTTGAAGAACAGTTTACACTCGCTGGGAGTTTTCATATAAACCATCACATTTCTAAACAATTAAGGTCATTATTAACCATACCCATTTTACAAATGAAAAAATAAGATTACATATCTCTTCCCAGGTCTCTCAGCAGAAGAAGGACTTGGAAGCAGTTCTATAGATTCCAATTCCAGTAATTCTTTTAATGCACTAATGTTGAAAGTGGAAAGATTCCCTCAGCTTTGTAATGATCCAAACTCATTGAATACTTTAAGCATTCCACTGCTTAACCCAGGAGGGAAAGGTGAGGGGCATTCTCTTGTACCTTGTTAACCCAGGAGGAGGGAGAAACAACCAGAGTATTTTCAAAGGTTTCCTGTTATTGCTTTTCTAATCCCCAAAGTTAACTATGCTCATTTTAGAAAGGTCAGAAGCTGCAATTAAGCAAAAAGAAGAAAGTATTAAAATACCAATAAAGACCCATAACTACCTACCCAGAAATAATTACTTTTGACACTTGGTATATAATATTCCAAATTTCTTTGTATGTTTGTTAGATTCTATGATACATTTTCTTTCATATTCTAGTGTTTTTGGAATTGTGTTGTTTTTCATTTGATGTTCACAGTTGATGTGGCACAGTGTTCTGCTCACAAACATGGCTAGGCTTATTATACTAATAATATGTCTTAAAATTATGGCATGTTAGAGTCAATGAGACATGTTATATTTTTCCCCCAAATGTTTCCAAAGTACTGGTTTAGAATCTACTTTTATAATTTATTCCTTTCTATATTTCTCAGTATGACTCTATATCAACAGGTATTTTCTATGAACAGCATGTTTAGTGGATGCAAAATTAGTGCATTGATTGGATGTACTATATTTTTTTAACCAAACACCCATTGCTAGGCATTTAAATTATTTACAACTTTTCACAATTACAAATAACACTGCATTAACAGACGGTAACTGAAGAACTGCCAGATCTAGTACTGGGTGCACAGAGCAATGAACAAAATTGACATGAACCAAAACTTCCAGGGCCTGAACAGTAAAAAAAATCAAGCAAACACTTTAAAATATATTTATACAGATTTATAAACTATGAGACATAATGAATAACAAAAACAGTCTTTCTTTAGATTAGATGATCAGGCAAGGCCTCTCTAAGGAAGATGAGGTCTAAAGGATGAGAAAAAATAGCCAGTGAGTGGAAGACTGCACCAAATTAGACTCCCCCCAAAATAGAATAAGAAATACCTATTCTCTTGCCAATATGGAATAGTTTCCTTTTTCTTAACCAATCTGTTGGGGGGTGGAAATGAACCCTCATTATTGTATTAATTAGTATTTTAAAAAATATTTATGATGATGAGTATTTATTTTTAATTTATGATATTTCTTCTCCACCAGAAGAACTCATTGATATCACAGTGTTTTCAGCTGTCATCAGATCACATCTACTCCACATAATCATAGCACCAAGCTAGGGTAATAATTCTCAAAGTATGCTCCCTCTGGAACCTTTACAGCACATGAATATCACCTGTGAACTTGTTAGAAATGCAAATTCTTAGACCCCACCCAGAATGAATCAGAAACTCTGGGGTTGGAGTTTAGTAATCTGAGTTTTAACAAGTCCTCCACGTGATTCTGATATATTGTAAAACTTGAAAATGACTTTCAAAGGGCTGCTCAATGGATATTTGTTGATTGATGTAGGCCATCTAATTAAGAGCTCCATCAAAGATACAAGTCAGAAAATATGGGCCTCAACTGAAGTGGAAAAAAAACAGAACAGTTCATTTATCCATTTATTCAATAAATATTTTTGAATACCTACTGTGCACAAAAACTATGCTATGTACTGAAGATTGAATAAGGAAATAAGACAAAAGGTCCCTGTCTTCACAAAGCTAATTATCTAATGGAGTGTTTCTTTGTCAAAGAGAATGGGATGACCAAGGAAAGTTCTAGTATGTACTACTTTAGAACTCTGAAGAGCAGGAATAATGGAAGAATGGTAATATAAGTATTTTCTAGCCAGGACAGAGGAGGTAAAAGTGTGAGGAGAGAAGTGGAAAGGCATGTCTCTTCAATTTTATTCTGACAAGTCTCTTCTACAGAGTATTCCAGAAGAGAGAGAGATTCCAGATGGGAAAAAAACCAAGGCTCTACACAGTTCTCATTATCCATGTTATTACTCTAAATTGCATCCATCGTTTCCCTTTTCTAGGCAGCTTAGTCCTGGTTTCCTTGCATTCCTGAAGTGTGCCCCAGGGATTTGTAGTTCTATGTTAATGTGATACATAAAATAGAGTCACCTTGACTTCGCATTTATCTGGCTTATGTAAGCTCTAACCTTTTGCTGCAGTGCAACAGAAATGCCAGACCCATTTTGTCTAGGCATATAAACAAACACTCTGATTCTAAATAATATATTGGGGGCCTTGGTGACTGTAAGAGCATGACAACCTGCAGGGGGTCAGGAATTAAGCTACAGATCTAAGCCTTGGCCTAGAGAGAAGCACCAGACTCTGGCTGTGCTCCTCTTCCCAGGAGAATTGCTCATTGCAATAAAAGCTTTGGAAAGAGCTCCAGAACTTTTCCTTCCAGTGGCAACAAGCCAACGAAGTCATACAGAGAAGGGGTCTAATGAGCTCACTGTCCCACCAAGTCCCATAGCCAGGAACAAGCTCTAAAATACTCTTTTCTAATCCAAAAGATATAAAACAGAAAAGGGGGCAAGGTTATTTTAGCTGCCTCTAATTTTCTCTCCACATAGAGCAGGACTTCCCAATCTCTGCACTCTTGACATTTTTGACCAGATAATTCTTTGTTGCGGGACTGTCCTGTATATTGTTAGATTTCCCACAACATCAATGGTCTTCATCTACTAAATGCCAGCATCTCCTCTCCCATTTGTGACAATCCATAATGGATCCAGACAACACCAATGTCCTCTGGGGAAAGGGGGCAATAGCACATCAATTTGAGAACCACTGCTCTAGAAAAAAGCATTTAGAGATCCTGGATATTAACCCTGGGGAGCCATATACACTATATTTTCCAAGCCCAGTGAATCAAACCAGTCTAAAAACAGAAGTCATCATTACAGGGTTTACATAAATAATTTGAGTAGCTAATTCTCTCCCACCTATCATAAACCCTTAACTACCTCTATTGCCTTTAAACAATATTATCAGAGCAATAGTTTCAGTCTCTAAGGTTGAATTCTTGAGGGCCAAAAAATTAGGGGGTTCAAAATCAAGTTGTGAGATTACTCCTTACAAATATATGGCACTTCATATTTCACACATCTGTCATGTTGAATTCAGTTTAACATTCACTGGTTATTTTTGATGCTCCAGGGGTCCTTAATCTTCATATCACCTGTATTAGTTCCTGTGCCCACTGTGACCATTGTAGCAAATTACAACACATTTAGCAGCTTAAAACAACAGAAAGTTATTCTCTGATAGTTCAAGTGAGAATCACTGGACCAAAATCAAAGTGTCCCTTATAGCCACGTCACTCCAATCTTTGCCTCCATAGTCACATTACCTGTTTCTCTTCTGTGTTGTCAAACCTCCTTCTGTTTCCCTCTTATACGGATACATATGATCCCATTGATGGTGCACTCAATAATGCAAGGTGATCTTCCCATATAAATACATCTACAAAACAAAGAGCACCTCTTATTTGCCATATAAACTAATATTCACAGCTTCCAGGAACACAGATATTCGATTAGGGATATTATCAGCTTATCATACCATCTTTTTGAATCAAATAAAGCAAAGATAATTATTTCCACTTTATAGACGAGGAAATAGTAGCAGAACAAAGTTAAATTACTTATAAGTGATTGCATACTGACAAGTTGTAGAAGATAGAGCAGGAATCCAGGGTTCCTGACACCTCTTTTGGATTAATCATAGTTTGAAAGGATATAGACCTATTTCTGCCTCCTCCAAGAGATGCAGGCACTGTGAAGTTAGTAAAATCATGAGGCATTTGAAAGTGGATATTGTAGATTAGGGAAGATTCTGGAAACTTCTCACACCAAGGGAATTAGGGGTGGAAAGTCACACAGAATTATCCAGGCTATTGGAATAGCACAAGAGAAATGAAAGAAGAGTTAATATAGTAAGAGAAGAAAAGAAAGGAAACTGTAATCTTTTAATATTCATTGAGTCCATGACAGCATGCTGTTTCACCTGCTATTCAGCATTTCACATTGGCAACACTGAGTAGGCATACAGGAGAGAAAAGGTTACAAAGCTCCTTCACAAAATAGTCTAGATTTGATTCCCAACACCTCTGTATGGAAGAGCAATTATCATGATTCTATTTTATAGGTAAAGAAACTGAGATTGGGGGAGTTAATTGATTTTTCCCAAGCTGCTCTTCTTCTTCTTCTCCTTCTCTTCCTCCTCCTCCTCCTCCTCCTCCTCCTCCTCCTCCTCCTCCTTCTCTCTCTCTCTCTCTCTCTCCCTCCCCCCCCTCCCCCTCCCCCCCCTCTCTCTCTCTCTCTCTCTCTCTCTCTCTCTCTCTCTCTCTCTCTCTCTCTCTCTCCCCCTCCCCTATAGATGGGGATGGAACCTAAGCCTCCTGCAAGCTAGTCAAACACACTATCACAGAGCTACATTCCAGCCCTGCAAGCTGAAATAAAATCCAAACCTTCTTCTTTTATAGTGTTTTTCTCTTCTAAATATTCTCTCTCATTGAAGAATGACATACATAAATGTCTCATGAAGTTATGACCCAGGGATTCTGGGATGCTAATATAAACAATAAATGTCACTTTATATTTAGTTATGTAGTTCTACCCTCAAAAACTCAAAATACCCTCTTTATATAATTCAGATACATGAACAACAGGTGGCAGTAAGTTCCTGGGGTAAATGGCTTGAATGATCAATTTAAACTTCTTAGGTGTGATGACCTTAGACAAAATTTATGGATGCCTGGGACTTCAGAGTCTTATAAAGAATGTCGCACTTTGCTAGTCTATCTTATTTTAAGTAATATGTTCAGATGTTTTTAAAGGTCAGGCATATAAAAATCATTTCAAGAAAATAAAAGTATGTAAATTTTTGTCCAGAAATAATCCTTGATAGCTATAATTTAACTAAATCTTTATCTCATCTTCAGAATATAACTAGAATGTGCCTTTCTACTTGACTCTAAATTTTAATTTTTAAATCAAATTTCTTCCTGATTAGTACATGACTACAAGATTTCTATTTGATTTACTAACAAAACAGCCATGGGCTCTCTTCTCAAGTGGAAAGTTTTTATCCTTCCCTATTTTCTCTGGCCGCTTTTAGATAAAGGATTTTAAAAATGAGAAAAGAGTACATACAACCATTTTTTTTTCTTTTGAGTTCCCTACTTTCAGCTTCTCTGCCTCTTCCCAACTGACACACTATCAAACAGCAGTGTGTTATCACTGAAAACAAAGTCCTATACTTTTTCTCTTTTTTGGCTATCTGAAAGAGGTGAGTTTTCATTCTAGTTCCTATAAAGAATAGCAACATCCCTCTTCCTAACAGCTAGTTTCAAAAGTACCTACTAGCCTGGCATGCTGACACACACCTGTAATCCCAGAGACTTAGGAGGCTGAGGCAGGAGAATTGCAAGTTTGAAGCCAGCCTCAGCAACTTAGGGAGACCTTGTCTCGAAATAAAAATAAATAAATAAAAAGGCTAGGAATATAACTCAATGATAAAGTGCAGTGAGTTACATGGTTACATGGTTATAATGGTTCAGTTCCCAATACTAAAAAAGGGGGGACTTCCAAAAGTAGCAGCTGGCTTAGTGTAACTTGAAATTTAGATGTGGAGAATTTCCCTAGCAAATTCTTAACTACTGGCAACATCTACAGAGTGCCTTCTGCCAGAGATGGGCTCCTCTTTTCCAAGCTAAGGGATAGAACACCAAAACAGCAAATCAAACAACCCACATATGTAAGTGCTTTTTATAGTAATGTGCAATTATTGCATCAAAGATAAACTTGCACATTGTAGTAACAAATGTCCATGTTGTCAGTGAACTTTAAAGGTGAGACTATCTCAGCTTGGCACTGTGCTTGGGACTTTGATAACTCAGGAGAAATGTAAGCCACAGTTCATGCCACAAAAGATTTACAACTGACTGAGGAGATGAGATTCCTAAACTAAGCATTTCTTTACCAGTATAGTATATATATATATATATATACATATTCAAGAGAGTGAATATAGTATGAAGTACAGTGAATTATAGAAGAGTTTCTAGTAGTACAAATGATTTTCTGTTTCTGGTCCTTGCTTAATTCTGAGAACTTAAAGGACAGAGCTTTTCCATTTTTAATTAATTATTTATTTATATGTGACAGCAAAATGCATTACAATTCATATTACACATATAGAGCACAATTTTCATATCTCTGGTTGTATACAAAGTATATTCACACAAATTTGTGTCTTCATACCTGTACTTTGGATAATAATAACCATCACATTCCACCATCATTTCTAGCCCCATGCCCCCTCCCTTCCCCTCACACCCCTTTGCCCTATCTAGAGTTCGTCTATTCCTCCCATGCTCCCAGTCACTATCCCACTATGAATCAGCCTTCTTATATCAGAGAAAACATTCAGCATTTTGGTTTTTTGGGATTGGCTAACTTTACTTAGCATTATCTTCTCTAACTCCATCCATTTACCTGCAAATGCCATGATTTTATTCTCTTTTATTGCTGAGTAATATTCCATTGTGTGCATTGTGTGTATATGCCACATTTTTAATCCATTCATCTACTGAAGGGGAGTTTTTCATATTTTTATTGTTGAGTTATGGTTGTACATAATTGTGGTATTTGTTGTTACATATTTGTACATGCACATGATATAACAATATAATTTGGCCAATATTCCTTCCTAGCACTTTCCCCCTCCCTCACTACCTCCCACTTTTTGTTCCCTTTTCTCTACTGATCTCCCTTTGCTTTTCATGTGATCACCCTAAACTTTCTTTCCCTTTTTCCTCTCTAGCTTCCACATATGAGAGAAAATATATGATCCTTGACCTTCTGAGTTTGACTTATTTCATTTAACTTGTTGGTCTCTAGTTCCATCCATTTTCCTGTAAATTACAAAATTTCATTTTTATTTATGACAAAATAAAACTCCATTATGTATATATACCATTTTATTTATTCATTCATACATTGATGGACACCTAGGCTGGTTCTACAGTTTGGCTACTGTGAAATAAGCTGCTGTAAACATGGGTGCATATGTATCACTGAAGTATGCTGACTTTAATTCTTTAGGATCCATATTGAGGAGTGGTATAGCTGGGTCATGTGGTGGTTCCATCTCTAATCTTTTGAAGAACCTCCATGCTGATTTCCACAGCAGTTGTGTTATTTTACAAAGGGATAGACAGATTTTATATAAGCATATATAAGAGGCAAGTATAGGTCCAGAAAAGAGAATAAACCCCAAAATTCAGGTGAGAAACAACCTGATAGGATTTCAGGTCAGGTGGAAGCTTGCCTAGAAGGAGCAGAAATTAGAGTGGAAAAATATAGCTAAATTATATTATGGATTGTCTTAAAGGCAGAGTTTGGAAAAGATGATCCATTTATAAGACTTTTAATCTGCATGGAGACTGCTCTAACAGTTAAGAATAAAGAATAAAGAGGAGGTCTAGTAAGAGAAGAACAGCCAAGTATAGGGAACTGAAGATGATTAATCTATGATATGAAAAAAAGGGAGGGACCATGACCTTGAAGGGTTAAGTCAAGGGCCAGGAGCAGAAAATCATTTGTACTACTAGAAACCCAAAGACAGTTGGAGAAGGAGAAAAAATTCTGTTTGGCATGTGAACATTGGAGGGTGATAATACATGTACAGAAGAGACAGCTGAAGATGCAGTCCCAGATAGAGGATGAGAGTTAAAGAAAAAAAAAAAATTATCTTCGCCTTTTGGAGCAACTGAGAACAGCACATCAATAACATCAGAGTCCCCAGGTCCAATGTGGCACCTTCTATTTTTCATCCAAATGTTCAGCCCCATTTATCTTCCCTTCCCACAGATCCTGCATTTAATAGCTCTCACATTGTTCAGGAAACTTGATTGCAACACTGTCATTTTGTGGGTACCAGTCAGAAGGCTTATACCAAAGTCCTTGCAGAAGACAATTTTCAGATAAGATATGTACTTGTCATATCTATAGCAAGCATCTGTCAGCCTCATCATAGGCTGCACGTAGAGAATTAGTTTCTAATCCTTAACACTCCAGCTTCCCCATGTTGCTTCTCCTGAGTGGATTAAAACATGCAAATTAAGTTTAGTTTATTTGATTTGCATTTGAGTAATCACCCTACTATCCACAAAGTAGCAGATAAAACAAAAAATATTTTTCAAATTGACCAGCTTACCTAAGACCATTGAGAATGAGACAGTCAACTATAAAATACCTTTCAGCAATAAGAGGAGCCACGTTCATAAAACATGTTCATTTTTTCCCACTACAGAGCTATAGGCAATATAACCCATGAAAAAATAGATCAGAGATTCCTGTCATTTTCAAGGCACTGGTCCAGAAATCAGCAAACAAAGACTCAGCAAGATATCCTCTTTACCAGCTGAGGCAGTCAGTTGCAAGTGAAAAATTTAAAGA